TCAACGTGTATCGTACTCGTGTCTCTTCAATCTATACACTGCCCGATTTTCGGTTCACCGCTTTAGTGTTTTTACCACTCGGTATCGCGGGAAAGAGATCAATTTTCCACGGCGATCGAGGTCAAAAAATTCGTTCGTTAATCGCAACGTGCCAATTTTAATAATTTTTTTCCATTTTTTCAAAGTCATTCGTAATTTTGATGATTCTGTGTCTAATACGATATGATGATATTGGATGTAATTGCAATTGCAAAAAGGATTTGCATTTTTTTACAATTTTTAAAATATATATATGTGTGATTAATGTTATTGTAAAAATTTCTTGTGCAATGTTAACTTGTGATCAGATGATTAATATTTAGTTTGATTCTGACAAAATCGTTCGTTAATCGCAACGTGCCAATTTTAATAATTTTTTTCCATTTTTTCAAAGTCATTCGTAATTTTGATGATTCTGTGTCTAATACGATATGATGATATTGGATGTAATTGCAATTGAAAAAGGATTTGCATTTCTTTACAATTTTTAAAATATATGTGTGGAACGTGATTAATGTTATTGTAAAAATTTCTTGTGCAATGTTAACTTGTGATCAGATGATTAATATTTAGTTTGATTCTGACAAAATGTTTATTTTTTCCTATGCACAAGTTGATATCAAGTTTCTTTCTCTTCCTGCTTTATTGATCATCCTCTACACATTGTTCACAGTACACGGAAAGGAATGGAATATAGTATGTGTAGAATTAAAAAGCAAGGTCGCAGTTCCAACTCCTCTTGCACTGGTTTACCAGTTAATAACATTAATGAATCGACAAGTTACAGTCTTCGTGCAATTTTTGTGCGTCGAAGAAAATTTGTTAAATATCGATGATAACTTTTACAAAACTGCGTATTCTATAAATGAAAATAGAAAAAAAAAAGAGAATGTCACGTGAAATTTATTTATAAACACTTTATTACAAAGTAATGGGCAAATATTGAACGCAGTTTAAATATACGACAACAGATTTGATATTAGAAAATACGAGAGGTCGATTATTTATACTTTATTTGTAAAAGGCAATATTCGAAAAAAAAAAAAAAATAATAATCCATACGCCTCGATGACACGTTTAATTCAAAAAAAGTAAAAGCTTTTTAGAAAATTAACCCACGTTACGAACAAAATTGCAAATTAACTACGATAATTTCCTATTTAATTGTCTTTTAATACAGCATTATATAAACAGAATTATAATAAATTAAACAATATTACGTAATAAACTAAACGTATCACAGTGTAATAAGTACCTTAAATACCGTAAATGATATTTTCCAATTTCTGACGATCGATTAAAATGTTTTAATTCCCATTTCGAAACGAGATGTTTATGTTTAATCTCTAATACAAAATATCCTGCATTTTCAGGCTACGTTCGATATAATAACCTCCCCCCAAAATAAATTTATAACAAAGCGCTTTTAACTTTGTGTAACATTTCGTTCTTATTTTCACACACACACATATATATATATATATATATATATATGGTAAATTATTCTTGCAATTTCAAAGCACTCTACCGTTATTGATAATATTGGCTTTTGGATAGATGTCGCGTTTTCCATCACCAATGTACAACGATGCTTTGCAAAACTTTGCATCTTCACAGTTGTCCGAGAGCTTGGAAAGTCTTTTTCCGACTTGGAGTCTTCTTTAAATTTATCCATCCATCTCGATCGAACGAGATTTTTAGAGATTAACTCGATCAAAAAAATGTGGAAATTATCTTTTCTCCACATCGCAGAATATTCGTTGCCCCCTTTTTTTTTTCCATCTTCCTTGTCGTCTTCAACAATGATTCTCTTGGAATATTTAAAATTATCTCTCTTAAAATTGTAATTTTTAATTTTCATATCATCCATATCATCGTCGATATTATAAACCAGAAGGAAGAATATATGTATATATATAATCAAAAATCAAGATCTCGGCGAGCAAAAGTTGCTTCAACTCGAGCGAAAGTCGAAGAGTCGCGGTAAAAAATCGGGTCACCGAATTGTTCGATTCGCACCTTCCGCGGCTTCGAACAGCTCTAATGGAGCCGTGCCGATATAAAAATCGATAACAATTCCGGTGAACTTGATCCACCATCAGTTAATATTTTGATGCCGCCGATCAATTTTTCGTGCGTTCATTACAAAATCGATTCAATTACCAAGAATTAATCTCTCCGTTTCCCCTCTGCTTTGCCCGAAAATCTCGTGTGATCCTCGAGGAAAAGTAAAGCAAAGATCTTTTCGATAATTTTGAATCCACGGTGAACGATAAATTGACGAAGAATTGCACGCCGATTGATCGAAATTGTTGACTATCGGATCGTTGACGATTTTATTGGATTTCATTGGGATTCATGATTCATACGCCATGCGCACTTGGACTGTTACGACTATTAGAAAAAAAAATATGCGAGACGATTTTTCAGTTACGAAGACGGATGAAATCGAATGCGTTAAGTTAATGTTTTTTTTCTTTCTTTTTTTCTTCTTTTTCGCGGGTAATATGTTTCATAATAATGAGCTTCTTCAACACACTTATTGAAACACTTCGTCGAATGATTTAAAACTTCTCGATTCGCGATTATAAAAATTTGTTTTGCTTATCTATGTGTCTTTATGGCTGACGGAATAATTATTTTTTGAAATAGGATACACGTTTTTCTATTCTTGTACTTTTAACGAATCTCCATGAATCGTAAATCATCACTAGAAAAAAAAAAAAAGAAAAACAATCCTTTACTCTTCTAAAAAGAAAAAGAAAATCTGGAAATTAACAGAATACGTGCAGTAGTATCCAATAGTGAATTCCAATCTTATCTTAGATTTGTCTGAAAGGAAAAAGCTTGGGTAAATCCATTCATAACCGTAGGAGTTTCCGATAATGGTACGGGCAATAAGCGTCCAAGAAAGGATCTTCGAGTTTCCATTCAAGGAAGGAATGCAAACGGCTATGATCAGCATGTGTAGCAGCCAAGAATATATTTTCCAGTCGTGAAGTTACGACGAAGTTTAGACGATCGAAACGGGAGAAACAAGACGCAACACCGACACAAGGGTGATCGATATCGAGTCGATTCGTGACCCTCGAAACACGCTGTTATCGTTGCCACAGTGCAACGGTCTTTCCTTTGTACAATCAACTCTTATATTCAATTAGAACTTCGCGTTCGATACGAGCGTGCACACATGCATAGAATGATAATATATTGGAACACCTTTGGAGAATCGATTTCGAAGGATGAAACATACGAATTTAGTTTTTATTATTTTTTTTTTCTTTTCTTTTCTTTGAACAAGAAAAGATTTGCAAATTTGAGTAAATTTTTGATATTTGATGCGTTTTATTAATTCAATTTTTATATTCAGGAAATTAGATTAGATCTTTGTTCTATATCAGGAAATTTTTGAAATTTGAAATTTCAGAGAGAACTGTGTCGTGTATCGAGAAAAGCGACGATCAGCAATTTTAAAATAGGAATTTTCATTTGTTGAGAAAAAAAATTAACAAGATTGTTATTCATAATGCAAATATATGTGTGTAAATATTCAACGTAAAATGCGTATTAATTTGCTTAACTTGTTGTTCATCTATGTTCGAAAATCGTATCTACACTTTCCATCACTTGTTCTCGTTTCCTTCGATTTTTCATATCGAATTTTTTCTTTTAATCAAATATTTTTATTCTACCTCGATTCGTTCAAATTTCAAAGAAACGAATCTTCCTCGAGGAAAATTTCCATAATTAATTCGTTCATCCTCTTATTTAGAAACCAACAAGCCCAGTCGATTATTGTATTATCAACCAAATTCCTCTCTTCGAAAAAAAATACTTTTTCTCGTATATAACTTGCGGCGGCGCGTATCGAGATTTTTTTTTAATTTCGGCAGAATCGTGGCACTAACAGGTGTTCGACGTGCGCGTAGATCCAACCAAGAAAAGACACGATGCACGAGAGAGCTTATTAAACCTGATTTACGTCTCTCGTTCGGTCACGACAGCACGACTGAGGTAGGCGAATGATATTAACCAAATGATCGAATATTCACAGAATGCAAATTTTCTATGCTAGGCGTCACGTTCAAAGTTCCATCGAGCTAATTAATGATTCGTTACGACAGAATTTTTCGCTAATATTTCCGCCGAATGTACGAAACTTTTGTGTCGAAGGGGAAAAATAATCGTACGCTTGCACGTGATCAATAATTTTTTTAACAATTTTCTTTTTTCCCTAATATCGATCAGTCGATATCGTGCTCGACGATTTTGAATTATACTTTTTTTTTTAAAGAAAGGAGCGCAGACGAGATTATTTTTTTTTAATTTAATACGATTGTAAATTTGATTTGAAAAATGCTGAAAAGATTATTTATTATATTATTTATTATATTATATTATATTATCGGCTGCGATTCTTTCTTGAAAATGTTTTACTTTTCAAATAGCCACCAAAGATTCGAAATAATTCTCCATTTGCGAGATTCCTCGAAATATATATATATATATATATACAGGGTGTCGTGTAATACAGAAGATAATTCTACGGGCGTTAAAAAAAAGAAAGAAGGAAAATAATTCTTTCGCTTGGAATTATCGAAGAAATCGTCCAAATTATTGCTAGCTACGCGACATCCTGTACAATTCGCATCCCCCAAACGTTTCTCTCGAGTCGAATCGCGAACCCTTTCGTGATCGAATAGCCAAGAAAATAGATTATGCATGCACGTACCGCGATCGTTTTCTCGGTGAAAGTCGTAAGTTTCGTCGGGCCACGAAATCTGTGCCGCCACCACGTTCATTCCGTCGTTTCATTGGCTCGCTCGAGGCGGCTTACGAAAGTCCGACGATGCATGTTAAACTTCCCCCACCCCGGTCCACATGCATGCGACACGCGACCCACACCAGAGAACACACTGTACACAGCACACCTAACATGACCGATCGGTCTGATCTGACAGATCGTTGCCTGTCCCCAGGAGGCATACTCCGTACTTTGGCCAACCGGACTACAGGCTCTACGAGTTGAACAAGAGGTTACAACAGCGTACAGAGGTGAGTCCATTTTTTTTTTTTTTTCTTTTTTCTTTATCTCTTCACCTCACTTGTTCTAATTTATTTACCTTGCAGCGATAGATTTTTAAGATTAACATCCTCCTTCCGTGGATATTAATTTTTCGGATTTTTTCGTGAAAATTCGATCGATGCGTTTATCATAAAAATTTGCTATATGAAATTTAATTAATAATAATCGTCAAACGCAATATTTTTTTTTTTTTTTAACGAAGATAGATCAGAGGAGGAGAAGTGTTCTGTCGAGAATATCGTGGTGAAAAATCGTAGGTTAGAAAGTGAGCACGAAGCATTCGGTTTGGAAAGATGTATAAGCGTTGGAGGAGGTTATCGGCGATAAATTAAACGCGACTCGGGGCGAAGTGTTGGTCGGTTATTATTTCTCGGTCGCATGCTTATTTCGAGGTGCGCTGCAAAGAGTTGGCGTAAGGTGAAGGAAGTTCGTTAGTAGATAGGGTAACGGATTAGAGACAGATGACTAGGTATTAACGTACGGGGAAATATGTGCCGATGATTAATCGCTTTCCGTTTGTGCAACCTTGTTTCTGATCAGATTGAATTACGGAGAGAGGAGCAGAATACCCGCGTTCTCCAACCTCGACCGTTGTTTCTTCCTTTTTCTTAGAAGCTGACACAATGATAGATCTATCTTGTTAGATCGATTTTCTTCTTTAATTTTATTTTCCAAGTGTAAACGATAAAAGATAAGAAGGAATTGCACAGAATTTTTATTTTTCGTCGGGTGACGGAACTCCCCTCTCCCGTTATGAATATTTCGCTCTGAACTTTTTGTGAAAGTTTTTTTTTTCTATTTATTCATAGCCAAGCTCGATCACTCTTCACACCTTCTGACAAATGATATTTAGTAAAATCTTTGATACGGAAACTCGGTTCGATCGATATTAATATTATTTCGAATTGTTGAATATTGTTTTTTCCTAATTATTTTATAGACACTCTAATAATCCTGTTTGAATTATCTTTTTATCTTCCTTAAAACTTATCTAGCACTCGTTGACTATAATCTTAAAGATGAAAATCAATTTCAAAGAAATTCGTCGAAATGGTGATAATTGTATGATAATTACACACAGAAAGTGTGATTTGAAAATGATCGAGCATTGATCGATCAGACAATTGCGTGACAATTCGAAAATTCGAGGATGCGATTCCTGACAATATCTTGAATTCTTGAAAATCTCCAGATTTCAACTCTTTCGAATTTTCCATGTAGATATCTTTCGCATAATAAGTTCCGGATATTCGATACTGGTCCCAATAATAATTCTTAAACGCGATTTATATAAGCGAAATTTCATCCAAATATTGTTTCCACGTAATTTTATTAGATAGCTTTTAAACTTAATGATTTGCATAAATTATTTACATGGCACGCAGCACCAATAACAATCCGATCGAAACAATTCAATTTTCTTCAGTTTAGACAAAAACTCGATTTTCTTATTGTTTTTTTTTTTATAACAATGCCAGTCAGAAATAGCATTCGAGTTGTTAAATTAATTTCAAAGAAATTCGTCGAAATGATGATAACTGTGTGATAATTACACACAGAAGTCAAGCAGATTAATTCGATCGAGGAAAAGTGATCGATCAGATAATTGCGTGACAATTGGAAAATTCGAGGTTTTTCCAAAAATATCTCGATTACTTGCGATTCCTGACAATATCCTGAATTCTTATGAGTTCTTGTGAAATTCTTGAAAACCTCCAGATCCTTTCGAATTTTCCATGTAGAGATACCTTTCGGCCCGAATAATAATTCTTAAACACGATTTATATAAACGAAATTTCACCCAAATATTGTTTCCACGTCAATTTTATTAGATAGCTTTTAAATTTAACGATTTGCATAATTGTTTATAGCAGCACCAACAACAATTCGATCGAAACAATTTTCTTCAGTTTAGCCAAAACTCGATCTTCTTATTGTTTATAACAATGCCAGTCAAATAGCATTCGAGTTGTTAAAATGATTCTTCGAGATCGTGTATTAATCTAGCGTTCAAAGTGGCTCCCTATATACCTATAAAACATCCATCCATTTCATGCGTTATAAAATCCTCTAGCCCGTGTACCGTGGCCAGATAAACTTATTCTCCTTTCAGAGATTCCCGATAATAATGATAAGATACAATCCTCGGGAACGGATTATCGTTGGCGCACATGTCTCGTTCCTGGACTATCGAGTTTTCCGTCGATTTCAGCCAGGCTAGATTAATAGATTCTTTGTGGGGGGATTGCTCGACTTGGTGCGACTTTCGCGGCAGAATCGCGAAATTTATCGAAGATCGCCGCCATTCTGGCCGTCTCCCCGATGACCTATGAGAAGCAGTTCGATAATCGATCAAATCATCGTGGTTTATTACGTCTTACGTGAATCGCATACCTGTTTGAACGCGTTGCAGAGAAAGAAGAATCGTGAAAATGTTGCAGATGGAAAAGATTGTTATCATATATTCCGTGTTAAATCTTTCATTTGTGGAAAATTTAAATGTACAAAAGCGCAGGAAATATTTAAAAAGAAAAGGAAAAGGAAAGGAAGACGAATTTCTAATCTGCGTTGATAAAAATTCCAATAAATCGTTCACAATTGGCACATTTTTCAAACACTCCCTTCAGAGAATATATCACAAGTTCCAATTCGAAATTTGTAATAATTTTCAATCCCTGGTTAACATTTAAAACAATGGAGCTTGACTCGTACTTTGAAATAGTACGAAAACCACTTCGAATCGATTAACAAGCCAGGTCGAATTGATCGTGGCGCATTTGTCGCGCCAACAGGGGCACGCGAATGTTTCTCCTGCTCGCCTTTTTGCGGCGAATCTCCAGGAGCCCGTTTTTCTTTTGGGCCAACAGTGATCAATGCGCCATTAGGACAAAGCACCGTGAAAAAAAGGAAGGCGAAGGAAGAGAGAGAGAGAGAGAGAGAGAGGGGTTAATGTGTCTTAATGAGCCTCTGATACTTGAGAGGCGCGTTCATTAATCTCCAGGAGGAGGACCAAATGGACAACCGGTATTCACTTCAGAGATCTCGATATTATCGGTCCGTCACGCCGATTTACGTTTGTCGCGTGGCGATCATCAGCATAAAAACCTGACTGCAATTAACCCTTTCGCTAGATTGAGCTATCCTATCCTATCCTTTCCTTTCCTTTCCTTTCCTTTCTTCCTTTTTCCTCTCTCTCTCTCTTTCTCTTAATATATCGTAAGAACCGCTTGATCGAAAATAAATCCTGCTCGACCTTGATCCGTAATATAAATGTAATAATAATTTAATAGGATATAAGAATAAAATATCTTTTGTTCCACTGCGAACACCATCGGTTGGTAAATGATGATCGAGTCGAGAGCAGAGTCATTAATCATACCGTGCCTCGATCGTTATTAGCTCGCCGCGCCATCGAGGCTACTCAAATGTTTATTTATCATTTATTAACTCTTATTATTATTTCTCTCTGACCTGCATACACGTTATTTTATTTTGTCTTATTTATTTATTTCTTTTCTTAATCCCCTCTTGAGCGTCTCGTCCCCTCTTGAACGCCGCCACCTGAGCGTTGATAACGTGGTTAGATACTCGACGAATAGTTGGAGTTAAACTTAGCCTACCTGCTCGTTCGAGAGATGGTACGTTCCACAAACCGGCTCTTATCCGAATTAAGCGTGAACACGAATCATTCACACTGATAATTCACCTATACAATTCTCTAATCGATTCGAAACGAAAGAATCGACGAGCTGAGAGAGTATCGATGAATAATCCAACGCTACACGTTCTATACACTGGAATTTTTCATAAAGAGTATTCAAGTTAAGGCGAACTGGTTCACCTTTGGGAAGTGTAGATGCAGCGTTAATTCCTTAGCCTTCGAATTGTAACGCCGTTGGTCACTTCATCCTGGTGGGCTAGAGCAAACGACTTGGCGTGTCCCTCGTTCATAAATCATCTCTTCTCGCGTTATCGTCAGATCTCGAGCGTTTGTCAGCGTGCGTGTGCACGGTTCACCAACTGCTGCTGTTCCTTCGCCGGCCGGCTTCCGTCAGGCCCGTGCGAACATGGCGCCCTTTTATTTTGTTACAACGCAATCCGTCACTCGATCCTCTCTCACGATCTATTATGTAACTGTCCATTAATCCGATCTATTTGTCTCGGTGATCCTGATTAATCCAAAGATTGGATACGACGATTGGAAATTCTAATTGTAGATCAATTCTGCAGAATTTCCATTCTGGAAATGGAAATAAGATTAAAATGGGAATTTTTGTGGAGGAAGAATGTAAAATGTAAAAATCGATTGCGAAAGACTAAGGTAATTAATTATTAATTCGTAAATAATAATTAATTCTAATTGTAGATCAATTCTGCAGAATTTCCATTCTGGAAATGGAAATAAGATTAAAATGGGAATTTTTGTGGAGGAAGAATGTAAAATGTAAAAGTCGATTGCGAAAGGCTAAGGTAATTAATTATTAATTCGTAAATATCCATATAAAAAGATAAGAGGGAAAAAATTTCGAAAAAAAAAAAAATAAAAAGCGTATCTATAAATGTAACGATCGATGAAAAATGTCAGTATTTGATAGTGAACTTTAAGAGGTCGAGAGAGACAGTCGAGTGTCTGTACGTATACGTCACTGTTTGCCGTAGTTCCGCCTACATTGGGGTTGCGTTCGTGTCAAGGGGGTGTTAGGGGGTGTTGGTTGAGGTACGGTGCAAGAAGAAACGAGCTTGGTTGAGCCGGGGGAAAGGGTAAGGGACGTGGGACGAATTAAAATCAGGGGCCACGCTGACTCGGATATTTTATCCGTTTTGTTTCAATTTTCCTCGTTTTACGTACAGGCCAGATAGAAGTAAAACATTCGAGTTTTTATTTTCGCGAAAATCATCATTAATTCAAAAAACGATTCCCTATTTTCGTAAGCTTTTAAGATAAAAATGGGATATTTAAGTTTATGTA